ACTTTCAGGACTGGGAGATGTCATAGATTGAACACCAATTTAAAAAGAAAGAGGATAAGGGTGGCAAACAAGAGGAATAGCAAGTAAAAGCTATCTACAAGTCACAGTATCTGTGGCCTACTAAGTAGTCTAGATAAGAAAGAAATGATAAGTTGTATTAGTGCTCCACATTATTGGAGGGGAGAAAGAAACTGTTCAATACCAAGAAAACACATCTGCATCCACTGGTACTTGAGTGGTCAACACCTTAAGTACCAAGCGATTTCCTTCCAAAATCTCTCAATCCCCTGTCCTCGCCTTCTGGAAATGCTGGCATATACATTCAACTTTGGCAGCATGTACTGTCAAGTTAACAGTGATATGCCTGGAGTTGTTAAATTTCGTGTTAAGCTTTGACAGCTGCAAAATACCTACTAGAAAGTTGAGGTGTTATCTCAAGTATGTATTTCACTTCATTGGAACAAAAAAAAACACCAGAGACAGAGAACAGAGTGGGACATAAATAGCAAGTGACCAGAAACTCAAGAGCTAAATATGTAGACAGACTCAAATGCTTTCATAGTATTTACAAATATTTCATTATATGGACCTCTAAAGGTCCTATGCATGATTTTAATTTTGAGTGAATACCCTAGTATGATTTTCTATGACACATATCATCTGGCCATAAGTAGGAAGAGGGCAATGTGCAACTAGACTTGGGTGTCCTCACGTGCTAGTTGCTGAAGGTAAGCATGCAGATGCATCAGGTGATAAAGAAAACTGATAGTGTGTTGACCCTCACAGTAAGAGGATTCAAGTACAGGTATAAGGAGGTCTTGCTGCAATTATACAGGGTCTTGGTGAGATTACACCTGAAATATCACATGCAATTTTGGTCTCCTTATCTGTAGAAGGATGTTCTTATTATAGAGGTGGTGCAGCAAAAGTTTCCCAGTCCGGTCCCTTAGATGATGGGACTGGTACAAAAAGTTAAATCAGTTAGAAATGTATTCGTGGATTATCATAGAAATCAACAAATTCTAATAGTACTACATGGGATAGATGCAGGAAGGATGTTCCAATTGACAAGGGTGTCAAAAACTAGAAGTCACAGTCTAAGGATACGGGGTGAACTGTTTGGGACTGAGGAGAGGAGAAATTTCTGTGCCCAGAGAGTGGTGAGCCTGTGAAATACAGGAAGTAGTCAAGGCCAAAACATTTGTATGACTTCAAGAAGCAGTTGGACATAGTACTTGGTGCTAAAGGGATTAAAAAATATGGGGGAGAAACGGAAACAGGCTATCGAGTTGGATGATCAGCCAAAATCATGATTAATGGAATAGGCTCGAAGGACTGAACAATCTACTTCTCCTATTTTCTATGTTTCTATTGCCCATTAATTGCAGGTGAAGAGTGTATGTAGAACAGAATCCTAGAAGGGAAATTAATATAATTTTGCTTCAACTCTACCTTCAAAAGTTAGTCCAGTCAGGAGTATTATTGAAATTTGTAATATTTTACTAGGTACCCTGGTTCCTATACTTTGGGTAAATTGCTGCATGATCAAGATTGGGCAATAGAGTTGTGATGGTAGTTAGAATCTCTGTGTCATGTTTAATTATCTTTGAGGAGGAGGAAATATCAATACAGAACGTTTTCCTCAGGTTATTAGATCAATGGGTTGTAACTTGTAATCCAGAATGTAAATATGGACCGTGTATAGTTTTTAAAACTGTTTCTTGAGCAAGAGGATACTTGGTGTTTTGGGATTTTATCTGTTTGAAGCTGAGCATGATACATGTTATGAAATAATATGTAGTGAGGCGGTACCATACTGGTAATGTCAGTGGATTAGTAATCCAGAGACCCAGATTAATTTTCTTGGGACAGAGTTTGAATCCCACCAAAGCAGCTGGTGAAATTTGAATTAAATTTGGAATTAAAAGCTAGTGGTGATCATGAAACCATTGTCAGTTGTGTAGTGAAAACCTATCTTATTCACTGAAGTATTTTGGAAAGGGAAAAGGATGAAGGTGTCACTGGTTATGTTGTCCATCCCTAATTGCCCTGGAGTAGATGGTGGTGAGCTGCCTCCATGAATCACTGCAGTTTACATGGTGTAGTTACAGCCACAATGCTGTTAGGAAGGTAATTCTAGAGTTTTGATCCAGTGACAATGAAAGTGTGGTGAAACAGCTCCAAGTCAGGATAGTGTGTGACTTAAGTGGAATTTGCAGGTTATGGGTGTTCCCAAGTATCTGCTGCCCTTGTCCTTCTAAGTGGTAGAGGTTATGGTCTGGCCCACATGAGAATCTGGACAGACAGTCATGTTGTTGACTCTTAAATATCTTCTGAAATGGCCTAGCAAGTCACTGAGATATATAAAACCATGACAGATAAGACAGTAAGGCCTCAAACTGGATAGATTAGTGCATCAACTTAAGCACCAGAAGTGGCAACAGTATGTCTATCCTTGTTGACCCTGCAAACTCCTCCTTACCAATATTTGGAGGCATGTGTAAAAACTGGGGAGAGTTGTTCTGCAAACTAGTCAAGCAGCATAGCTACATTAACAGAATTTTATCTTACAGGCAATATTTCAAACATCACCATCCCTGGATATGTCTTGTCCAATCATCAGGACAGACCCACCAGTGATTGCAGCATGGTGATATGGAAGCAGCAACGTGTAGCTCTGAAAGTCCTCAACATTGACTGTCTACTCCACAAAATCTTATGGTATCAGGACAAACATGGACAAAGAAACCTTCTGCTGATTACCACCTATCCCTTTCCCTCAGATGAAGAACTAGTGCTCCTCCATGGCGAACAGCCCTCAGGAGAAGGGCTGAGCGATCTACTTCCGCTCCTATTTTCTATGTTTCTATTGCCCATTAATCGCAGGTGAAGAGTGTATGTAGAACAGAGGGTGACACGGGCATAGAATGTACTCTGGGTGGGGGACTACAATAACCACCAACAAGACTGTTTAGTAGCACCACTACTGACTAGTTGGTTGAGTTTTACAGGACAGAACTGCTGAACTGGATCTGTGGCAGATGGTGAGGGAACCAACAGGAGGGCGAAACTAACTTATCCCATTCCTCATCAGTCTTCCAGTTGCAGATGCATCTGTCCGTGGCAGTGTTGGTGTGAGGGATCACTGCAACGTCCTTGTGGAGACAAAGACTTGTCTTCATATTGAGTATACCTTCCCATCATGTTGCGTGACACGACTGCCATGCTAAATGGGATAGATTGCAAAAGAAGGTTCTGAGGAAGGGTCACCAGACCCAAAACGTTAACTGTTTTTTCCTTCACAGCTGCTGCCAGACCTTCTGGGCTTTCCCAGCAATGTTGTTTTTGTTCCTGATTTACAGCATCCGCAGTTCTTCTGGTTTTTAACACCATCTACAAATTCACTTTAAAGCAACACCCAATTCTGAGTTGGAACTTTATCACTGTTCTTTCACTGTCACTGGATTAAAATCCTAAATCTCCCTTACAAACCACACTGTAGGTGCTCCTGCACCCTAAGAACTGCAGTGATTCAGGAAGGCAGCTCGCCACTGGCTTCTCCAGGCCAGTTTGGGATGGGCAATAAATGCTGGCATGATCCATGAACAATTCTGGCCCTTCTGGCCATTGCTTCTCCTGACTTTCTTGTTCCCAGTTACATGCAGTTACTCTTGCTCCCCACTACTCACACTTCTCAGTACTGATTTCTTTGCTTGCTCCTGCAAGTCCTTCAAGGAGGCAAGTTGTTGAAAAGAATTTTGGACTAGTTGGATATTTGGAATGTAACTTTCCCTTTATTTTGTTGGTGATTTGCATTCAGCACATGTTGGCTTTGCAACCATTTTTTATGAGCACATTAAGAGTGCTAAATTATGGATAGCTTAATGCAGTGTATTTCAGAATGTCTCAAAGTGCTTTACAGGCAATGAAGTGCTTTTGAATTGTGTTTTCTGATGTAATATATTGTAATTCAGTAGAACAAAACTTCAAAAAGTACTTCTTTGGCTGTAAAACATTTTGGGATGATCTGAAAGTTACTATGTATTTGCAAATCTTTCAAAGACAGTGATGTAAGAAACAGAGCACCCCATTCGCAAACAACAATCTTCCACAAAAAGCAATATGGCAATGACCAGGTAATTTGGTCATTGATTTTGAGGGACAATTATTGGCTGGAACTCCAGGGAGAACACATCTGCTCCTTTTCAAAATACAGCAGAGGGATCGTTTATATGTAATTGAGAGGACAGACAAAATTGGTCAATGTCTCATCCAAACAATACCCACCAATCACATGCCCTCAATTCCACAGTGAAGTGATGGCCAAGGATATGCACTTTTATCTCTGGACTGCTAGCAAGAGAGTTGAGCCAACATTGGTCTGTGCTAACTTTTTATTAATTTGTGGGATTTGGATGTTATGGGCAAGATCAGCATTTAAATGCTTGGCCCCAATTGGCCTTAAAATTTGTGCAGAAGTACTCTTATAATTCTGTTATTAGGCAAGGAATTTCAGGATTTTGTCTAGTGACAATAAAGGTGATGGATTTCCAAATGAGAATGGTGTTCAGCTTGGAGGGGAGCCTTGAATTGGTTGTGTTCCTGTGTGTTTGCTGTCTTTGTTGTTCTAGATGATGGGGGTTGTAAATTTGGCAGGTGCTATGAAGGGAACTGCAACATTGTATTATGAAGAATGTGCATGTTATCTGGTGCTGTGGAGAGTTGATGCTTAAAGTAGTGGACGTAGTACCATTCGAGCTTTGTATTGAATGATGTAAAGTTTTCTCAGTGTCAGTGTTTCCGTCTATGCAAGTGGAGAGTATTCCATCATATTGCTGTGTGCAATGTAGATGGTAGAAAGACTTTTTGCAATCAGAATGTGAACTGTGAAGGAATCTACAACAGACCTTGAAGCAGTTCATTCTATTTCATGTATTGTATATTTCTTTCCCATTTTTGTTAATAATGTATAGTTCAAAATCTAATCCAATCTTCCACAGGAGACTAGATTATCAGCTGACGTCGAGCCATTTGTGCCAAAACAGCAAGCAATTGGACCAAAATGGTCTGAATCATCAGCTACGTTGCCAAGATACCTAACGACCTGCTATCCTTTTGTTCAAGATCCTTATGTGGATAGGTAAATATTAATTTTATAATTCTGTAGCTTCTTGTATTACAACAATTAAGAAAAATATATAACTAGCTGGAGAAACATTTCTGGTGTTAGAAAATAGTTACAGTATAGAAGGAGATTATTTGGCCTGTCTTGTTCAAGTGGGAGCTTATCAAGAGCAACTTGGCAACTCCCATTTCACATCCTCTCTCCACAGTTTTTTCCATAGCTTTTCCTGTTCAGGACATAGAAACATAGAAAACAGGAGCAGAAGTAGACAAGTCAGCTCATTGATGTCTGCCCATGCTGAGAAGTTATTAAACTTTGGATGTTGAGAAGAATTTGGATGTCGTAGTACATAAGTAACACAAAGTTCACATGCTGATTCAATTAGGAAAGCAAAGTGATGCGTTTGCTTTTAGAGTACAAGAATAAGGAAGTCTTGCTGTAGTTGTATAAGTCTTTATTAAGACTGTCACTGGAATCAGTGTTCTGGGATACAGTGTATGGGTTGGCAGGATGTGATGAATGGTGTGCAACAGGGATCAATGTTGGAACCTTAATTATATGCAATGTACATAAATGACATGGATGCGAGGACCAATGATAGAGTTGCTAAATTTACTGATGACACAAAGTCACACACTGACTCTTTAATGCACTCATAGCAATTTAGGGATGATCATTTTATAGAATTTTAGTATCGTAGAAAGTATTTCAGCGTAGAAGCAAACCGGCTCATTTGCTATCTCATGACTTTAGGGTGTACAGCACGGGAATAGGCCTTTCGGCCCATGATGTTGTGCCGAACGTGACGCCAAATGAAACTAATCTCTTCTGCCTGCCCTTTGTCCATATTCTTCCAATCCTTGCATATTCATGTGCTTTCCTAAATGCCTTTATTGTATCTGCCTCCACCACCACCCCTGGTAGTGTGTTCCAGACTCTTACCGCTCTCTGTGTAAAAAAAACTTGTTGCTGACGTCTCCTTTGAACTTTTCCCCTTTAACCTTAAATGCACGCCCCCTTGTATTAAATATTTTTACTTTGGGAGAAAGATTCTGACTGTCAACCCTATCTATACACCTCATAATTTTATAGACTTCTATAAAGTCTCCTCTCAGCCTTCGCCGCTCAAGAGAAAACAACCGAAGTTTTTCGAGCCTCTCCTTTTGGCTCATACCCTCTAATCCAGGCAGCATCCTGGTAAACCTCTTCTGCACCCTCTTCAAAGTCGCCACATCCTTCCTGTAATGTGGCAACCAGAAGTGAACAAACTGCCCTAAATGTAGCCTAACCAAAGTCTTATAAAGCTGCAACATGACTTCCTGACTCTTGTACTCAATTCCGCGACCAATAAAGACAAGCATTCCATGTGCCTTCTTTACCTCCCTATCTACTTGCATGGCTACTTTCAAGAAACTGTGGACTTGAACCCCAAGATTCTTCTGTACACCAATGCTGTTCAGAGTCCTGCCATTAACTGTATACTTTACCTTAAAATTTGATCTCCCAAAATGCAGCACCACACGCTAATCTGGATTAAACTCCTATCTGCCATTTCTCTGCCTATATCTGCAATTGATCTATGTCCCGCTGTATTCTTTGACAACCTACATTATCCACAACTCCACCGATTTTTGTAACATCTGCAAACTTACTAACCCACCCATCAACATTTTCACCCAAGTCAGTTATATACATCACCAGCAGCAGAAATCCCAGTACACATCCTGGCGGAACACAACTAGTCATGGATCTCCAACCTAAAAAACACCCTTCCACCAATACCCTGTTCTGTGAGCAAGTCAATTCTGAATCCACGTGGCCAAGTCACTGTGGATCCTATGCATCTTAATCTTCTGGATGGGCCTACCATGATGGACCTCGTTGAAAGCCTTACTAAAATCAATGTAAACACCATTGCTCTATCCTCATCAATCACTATCGTCAACTCCTTGAAAAATTCAATCAACTGCACAAAGCCATGCTGACTGTCCCTAATGAGGCCATGCTTTTCCAAAGATGAGTAAATCCTATCCTTAAGAATTCTCCTCAATAGCTTCCCAACCATCAATGTGAGACTCACTGGTCTGTAGTTTCCTGGATTATCCCTATTTCCCTTCTTGAACAGAGGAACAACATTAGTTACTTGCCAGTCTTTTGGGACCTCTCCAGTGGCTAGCAAGGTTACAGAGGTCTTGGTCAAGGCCACAGCAATCTCCTCTCTTGCCTCTCTCAATAACCTGGGGTAGATACCATTGGGCCCTGGGGTCTTATTCACCTAAATGCTCTTCAAGAGATCCAACACCACCTCTTTCTTGATCTGAAAATGCCCTAGCATATTAACATGCTCCACACAAATCTCTCTATCCTCCATATCCTTTTCCTGGGTGAATACTGATGCAAAGTACTCATTTAGGATCTCACCCACATCCTCTGCCTCCTAAGCACTAGTTCCCTTCTTTGTCCTTAAGTGGTCTTACCTTGTTCCTAGTTGTCCTCTTGTTTTTAATGTATCTATTGAATGCCTTGGGATTCTCTTTAACCCTACTTGCCAAGATCATTTCATGGCCCCTCCTTGCTGTTTTAATTGCCTGCTTCAGTACTTTCCTTTTATTCCTTACAGGCCCTGTCTGATTTTAGCTTCCTAAACCTTACATATGTTTTCTGTTTCCTTTTGACTAAATTCACAACCTCCCTCATTATCCAAGGGTCTCTTATCTCACCATCCTTGTCCTTCTTCCTTAATGAAACATGCTGGCCTTGAACTCTCCCCAGCAGGTCTCTAAACAGTTCCCAGATATCAGATCTGGAATTGCCTGATAAAAGCTTCTCCCAATTAATACTCCCTAGCTCCTGCCTAACACTGACGAAATTTGCCCTCCCCCAATTTAGTACCTTCCTGCAAGGTCCCGACTTATCCTTGCTCATACCTATCTTAAAACCTGAGGAGTTGTGATCACTGTTTCTAAAATGCTCTCCCACTGAAAGGTCAGTCTGTTGACCAGGCTCATTGGCCAATGCAAGGTCCAGTATGGCCCCTTCTGTAATTGGACTTTCCACATAATGTTTCAAGAAACCCTCTTGAATGCGCTTAACAAATTCCTGACTTTTATGTTTATTTAAAGGCAAGTATGAGGTGCTGTGTTCCAGATGTAATAAAAGCTTTCCTCGGTCTGTATGACCCCTGACCCCACTCATGATTCTTTAGTCTCACTTTTTTTTTAAAAAAAGTATACAGGGAGAACTCAAAAGCTGTTTACCAACTGCCTTCTGTAGAAGACATTTCGCCACCACTCTGGCAACACCCTCTGCAAGAGAAACAGCACAGAACTTCTTTCTCTCAAAGGTGCCGTACCATCAGAGTGCCCAAAAGCTTGATCAGAGATTGATTTTAGGCAGCATAACAGCGGTCCTGATTCTTGTCTAAATAAGAGAAACCCTGCAAATATTAACAGATATTGGGGTCCCCTCAGACTACCTTCTAAAGGATAGTGTTAGTCAGAAAAAAGACATTGGAAGTCATCATATACAGAGCTGTGCTTACATCTGTACAAACATCTGATGCTTGGTGCATTCTTTACCCTCATTCCAAACTCATTAGTGATTTGCCATCTCTGTTTCCCTATTCCCACCTGCTGACCTCTATCCTCTCAACTTCTAGGGAATGAGGAAGAGGAGGGAGAGGAAAAGGCAAAGCAGGAGAAATTAATGCAGAGTTACAAAGTCATGGAGTGCATATTGGAGATATTAATTAAATTGGAATCATTTGAGATTATATTCTGTATTATTAAATTTAGGGGATAGTATGTAAAACCGATTTAAAACTAACTGTAGAAGAATAAAAACAGCTTTTCTTCCTGCCTGCCTTATTTCTTTATTGTACATATTTTTAAAGAAGTGTAAATGTGCTTCCAGACACACTAGTATGACTTCTTACGTGACCTTCATTGAGCACATTGACTAATGGAAATGTTTTTGTGCATACTGTACTAATTACTTTTTTTAAGTAAGTTTAGATTTGTCAACATGTAAAATTTACACTAAGCAGAACACTTATCCTTGTGGTATTGTGCCATGCACATCAGAAAGATGTCATGCTCATTTCCCAGTCTGTTGAGCTAGCTAATCTCTGGCTGATGCTACAATTGCTTGACTGGAGTGGAGAAACGTTAGCTAGGTTCCGGCTAATTATTACTTTCTCTAATGATTTTGGTGAAAGTACGTCAATTGTGTGGTGACAGTATTGGTCCTTTCAAAAATATCTGCCCTCTTCTCTTCATATGGTATGTGCTTGCTCGCTGTTTAGGCATACACCTGAAGACCACATTACTAAGGTATGAGAAAGCATTATCAGTCTAACTCAGTGCCTCAGCAATAGAGTGGATGCAATTGGACATTTATTAAAAAAAAACTGTTCTCTTGAAAATACAAGATGAAAAAGCAAAAGGCCTCCATGTAAAGTTTTTACTTTTGAAAAAAATGTGCTAGCTCACATTTTACAAGATGTAATTGTGCTGGAATATTTTGAGTATGCTTATTCAAGAGATGATGATATGTGTGCATATCCATCATGGGATACAAGAGAGTGATTTCTCTTGCAGTTGTTTCACAGCTATTTCAGTTAATAATCCTGTGGATTTTATTTTTTGCTATGCTTTTTAGGCAGCATTTGAAGACACCAGAGAATGGCTGCAATAAACAGTCTCAGAATTTTTCAGAGTTGCATACATCCTATCCAGTTATGTCATCTCACTTGCCTATGGACTATTCCTTCTGCTATTCGTATAAACAGACATCTGATTCTTCATTGAATCTATATGCACGAACACCATCACGCTATGATGACATTTGCTTTTCAAAGCACAGGATTGGTAGCAGAAGTAACAAGAAAAAACAACCTGGCCAGCAGGAATTTGAGAAGGAGAAAGCATTTTTGAACCAGACAACTAAGGTATGTCATGATGATATGTATTAGTACAGCAAGACTGTCGTCATGTATTTGTAATTGTTATGCCTGTGCTGATATAGTGTGTGCACATAGTTTTGCCTTTCTGCCTGCAGCACAGATGTTCTTTATAATCATGAATGTTTTTTAAATTTAGTTTTTATTACATACAAGTTGTTTGTGCGACTGTATCACCAGTATTATTGAGACAGATTGATAAGGGGCCAATGGGCCTGAAGCATATTGCTGGCTCTGCATCCTCTAGTCCGAGGAAAAAGGTGTTCAGCCAATGTGTACGATCACACGCTCGTGGAGCTCAATTTAAAATCTAAAGGCCGGTTCAATGTTAACCAATACTATAATTTTTGTAGGAGCAAATGAAGAGTCTTCTAAATGTTAGCTTGCTCTCTCTCCATGGATGCTGCCTGACCCGCTGTGATCTCCTGCATTTGTTGTTTTCAACCATAATTTTTGTAGTGTTTGCAATTTATGATAAGATAGGCTATTTGAGTTTGTCCGCAAGTTTGAGATTTGCCAAATTGTTGAATTTCCTTTTTTAAAACTGATGCTGCTATGTGGTTATTATTGCTCTAATCTTCTATGCCATCAAGAATATTTCTTATCCTGCAGATGCTTTTGATGAGAGTTGCCTAAATGCTTACAGGGAATAACACAGATTTCTGAACAGGGATATCTCTTAATGATTTATATGTCTCTGATAGCTTACAAATATACTTTTTTTACAAGTAAATGAACCATAAAATCAGGAAGTAATAGTGAGCTGGCAAATCTCATTTGGGGCTGCTTCAGTTGGCCTGAACTCCTTGGATTGAGGGGCAGAAACTGCCAATTACTTTGATCCTAATCATTAGTCACTGACTAAATTATGCATGATTGGACATTTGATAAGGGCCAGGGTTGTGATTAGTTGTGACACTCAAAGTTTACAAGTCATTAATGAAGGGCTGTTGTGAAGCAGTGGTAGTATCCCTTCATTTGTGCCTGAAGACCTGGGATTCAAGCCCCAGCTGCTCCAGAGATGTGTGATAACGTACGTGGAAAGATTGCTTTTAAAAATATCTACAAGTTATGGATGTTTTTAGTGTGAGAAACTGGAGATTAACTGCCTGTACCATCTATCTGCAACTAGAATCATGACACAACAGCTTGTATTTATATAGCATTTTTTTTATAAGTAAGGTGTCTCAACATAATTGACGGATTGTTATAAAACAATATTTGATATTGAATTGTCTAAAAAGATGACATAAAGCTGAGTTAGAGGAGTTGGTTTTGAGGACCATCTTGAAGAAAATGTTTAGAGCCTGAAATTCAGAGCTGCCCTAGGCTTTTGGCAGCTCATCTATTCAAAGACATCCCATTGATTTCAAACATTAACTCTGTTCTCTCCACTGTTACTGCCTGACTTGCGAGTACTTCCAGTGTTTTCTGCTATTATTTTAGTTTTTCAGTATTTGTAGTGTTTCACTTCTGTTTTAGGTTGAGCTGCAGGTTAGAACTTGAGTAGCAGAGTTTTAAATGACCTGAGCATAGAACATAGAACAGTACAACACAGTACAGGCCCTTGGGCACGATGCTGTGCCGACCTATTATCCTAATAAGATCAATCTACCCTGCATGCCCTACATTTTACTATCCTCCATGTGCCTATCCAAGAGTCGCTTAAAAGTCTCCAAAGTATCTGACTCCACTACCACTGCCGGCAGCGCATTCCACACGCCCACCACTCTCTCTGTGTGAAGAACCTACCTCTGACATCTCCCCTATACCTTCCTCCAATCACCTTAAAATTATGCCCCCTCGTAATAGTCATTTCTGCCCTGGGAAAATATCTCTTGGTATCCACTCTAACTATGCCTCTCATCATCTTGCACACCTCTGTCAAGCCACCTCTCATCCTTCTTTGCTCCAATGAAAAAAGCCCTAGCTCCCTCAACCTTACCTCATAAGACCTACCCTCCAGTCCAGGCAGCATCCTGGTAAATCTCCTCTGCACCCTCTCTAAAGCTTCCACATCTTTCTTATAATGAGGTGACCAGAACTGAACACAATATTCCAAGTGTGGTCTAACCAGGATTTTGTAGAGCTGCAGCATAACCTCATGGCTCTTAAACTCATTTCCCCTGCCAATGAAAGCCAACACACCGTACGCGTTCTTTACAACCCTATCAAATTGGGTAGCAACTTTGAGGGATCTGTGGACGTGGACCCCAAGATCCCTCTGTTCCTTCGCACTGCCAAGAATCCTGCCATTAACCCTGTATTCTGCATTCAAATTCAACCTTCCAAAATGAATCACTTCACACTTTTCCGGGTTGAATTCCATCTGCCACTTCTTTGCCCAGCTCTGCATCCTGTCAATCCTCTTGCCACCTACAAGAGCCCTCCATGCTGTCCACAACTTCACCAACCTTCGTGTCATCGGCAAACTTACTAACCCACCCTTCCACTTCCTCATCCAAGTCATTTATAAAGATCACAAAGAGCAGAGGTCCAAGAACAGATCCCTGCGGAACACCACTGGTCACCGAGCTCCAGGCTGAATACTTTCCATCTACTACCACCCTCTGTCTTCTATTGGACAGCCAATTCTGTATCCAGACAGCCAAATTTCGCTGAATCCCATGCCTCCTTACCTTCTGAATGAGCCTACCATGTGGAACCTGATCAACTGCCTTGCTAAAATCCATATACACCACATCCACTGCTCTACCTTCATTGATGTGTTTTGTCACATTCTCAAAGAATTCAATAAGGCTTGTGAGGTGTGACCTGCCCCTCTCAAAGCCATGCTGACTATTTCTAATCAAACTGTGCTTTTCCAAATAATCATCAATACTATCTCTCAGAATCCTCTCCAATAATTTGCCCACCACAGAAGTAAGACTGACCGGTCTGTAATTTCCAGGATTATCCCTGTTCCCTTTCTTGAACAAGGGAATGACATTTGCCACCCTCCAATCATCTGGTACTACTCCAGTGGACAGTGAGGACGCAAAGATCATTGCCAAAGGGGCAGCAATCTTTTCCCTCGCTTCCCGTTTAAACTAGATTGGCAGGGGGTGGGAAACTGGATTTGTAATTCAGAGGATGAGGTATTCAGCCTTCCAACAGACACAACAGGGAGTGAGGTTGTTAATAAAGAAATGCGGTCGATGGAGCGTAATTGTGGACACAGACGGTTTGAGGTGTGTATACTTCAATGCTAGAAGTATCAGAAATAAGGCGGATGAACTCGGAGCATGGGTCAGTACTTGGAACTACGATGTTGTGGCCATTACAGAAACTTGGGTAACTCAGGGACAGGAATGGTTGTTGGAAGTTCTGGGATTTAGATGCTTTAAAAGAAATAGGGAGGGTGGAGAAAGAGGCGGGGGAGTGGCATTGCTAGTCGGGGCTAGTATAGCAGCTACTGAAAGGCAGTTTGAGAATGATATGTCTACAGAGTCAGTTTGGGTTGAGGTCAGGAACAAGAAAGGGGCAGTCACTTTGTTGTGGTTTTTTTACAGACCCCCTAATAGTTGCAGAGAAGTGGAGGAGTGGATTGGGAGGCAGATACTGGAAAGGTGCAGAAGTCACAGGGTTGTAGTCATGGGTGACTTCAACTTTCCAAATATTGATTGGAAACATTTTAGTCGTAATAGTTTAGATGGAGCGGATTTTGTCCAGTGCATTCAGGAAGGATTCCTGACACCGTATGTAGAGAGGCCACTTTGGATTTGGTGCTTGGCAATTAACTGGGCCAAGTGTTAGACCTGTTAGTAGGAGAACATTTAGGTGGTAGCGATCATAACTCTGTTACTTTTACAATAGTCATGGAAAAGGATAGGTACATACAGCAGGGTAAGGTTTATAATTGGGGGAAGGGTAATTACAATTCTGTTAGGCAAGAACTGGGTAACATAAAATGGGAACAGATGCTGTCAGGGAAGAGCACTATTGAAATGTGGAGATTGTTTAAGGAATGCATACTGCGTGTGCTCGATATGTTTGTCCCTAGCAGGCAGGGAAGATGCGGTCGAGTGAGGGAGCCTTGGTTCTCGAGAGAGGTCGAATGACTGGTTAAGTGGAAGACGGATGCTTATGTAAGGTTTAGGAAGCAAGGAACGGAAAAGACTCTAGAGTGATACAAATTATCCAGGAAGGAGCTGAAGAAAGGGCTTAGGAGAGCTGTAAAGGGGCATGAGAAAACCTTGGCAGATAGGATCAAGGAAAACTCCAAGGCTTTTTACATGTACGTGAGGAATAACAGAATGACCAAAGAAAGGGTAGGGCCGATCAAGGATTGTAAAGGGAATTTGTGCACGGAGCCTAAAGAGGTAGGAGAGGTCCTTAATGAATACTTTTCTTCGGTATTCACAACTGAGAGGGACCTAGTTGTAGAAGAGGACAGTGTTAAACAGGCTGGTAGGCTAGAGGAGGTCGATGTTAGTAAGGAAGATGTACTAGGAATTTTGAGGAACTTGAAGATAGATAAGTCCCCCGGGCCTGATGGGACTTATCCAAGGATTCTATGGGAAGCGCGGGAAGAAATCGCAGGGCCTTTGGCAATGATCTTTTCGTCCTCACTGTCCACGGGTATAGTGCCGGAAGATTGGAGAGAGGCAAACGTCATTCCCTTGTTCAAAAAAGGGAATAGGGATAACCCCAGAAATTACAGGCCAGTTAGTCTTATGTCAGTGGTGGGCAAATTATTGGAAAGGGCTCTGAGAGATGGATTTATGATCACTTGGAAAGGCACAGTTTGATTCGTGATAGTCAGCATGGATTTGTGAGGGGTAGATCATGCCTCACAAAGCTTATTGAATTCTTTGAAGAAGTGACCAAACACATGGATGAAGGTAGAACAGTGGATGTGGTAGACATGGATTTAAGTAAGGCGTTTGATAAGGTTGCCCATAGTAGGCTCATGCAGAAGGTAAGAAGGCATGGGATAGGGGGAAATGTAGCAGATTGGATTTAGAATTGGCTGACCCTTAGAAGAC